TAGGTGTAGTAGTACCTCTTCGGGCTCTTGTACACCTTTTTCTTGCTACGTGTGCGTGTTCTTTAGATCCTCAGATGGCTCCAGCACTTTCGTGACCACGGGCCGAGAGTCTTTGCTAGATTTTGGCATTTGGCAACTGGCATACGGTTTAATGTGAAGTCAACAAGGGTCTCAGAAAAAAATGACACTTCAAAGTGTCCATTCAGCTTGGCTCTCGAAACCACTATAACAATTTTTACCTGGTGAAATCAAACCATTAGACTATGTACAGCAGAGTCAGCGCTGATTATGGAGTCTAGACTAAGAGTTTGGTGTCGGCGGCTTCAATAAAGCGTATCATGCGCACAATATGTGTCCTGTAGGATGTACAGTACACGGCAACAGTTCTGCGGTGACTCACCTCGTGGGCTCTTGCTGAATTGGCTCGCCGTTCATATTCCGCAGCTGGAATGCCTTCAGGGGTCTCCCGTTCGTGTTATGTTTCGGTCGAACCGACCCGGGGTTGAGTTGAGTGGAAGCTGTCTTGGTCCAACTTCATCCAAGCAGCGAGAAGAATCATGCCCACAAAAAGGCAACAATTCGAATCGCGCCAAATTTGTAGCGGCGACGAGGAATACCAAACAAAATGGGGGTTAGCAAGCGGCATGAAACAGAACGGCTTGCTAAGCGGGCACACGCCGAAGCATTCGCATTCGAAGGGGCGTTGAATAGGAAGATGGCCCTTAAAAACCTAGACTAAGCAAAACACCTTGTTTCTGCGCCAACTCCTACGGCAACATTGCTATCGCCTACATATGTCGCCATAGTCGAGCGACCACCGCCGTTGGGTGTGGTTGGTGCAAATTCCAACATGATTATTAAACATGGCCGAGTCAGCTGAACTGAAGTCCAACCGCTATAGGCCATCGCAGAAGTAGAGGGCCCGTGCTCGGCCAGCGGTTTGCCGGGATATGTGGAATCCGGAAGCAGTGAGTGATTCTGGGGTTGTCATTGTTGCGGGTGGCTGAAAAATAGCTGGCGATTCGGTGATTCGGGTTGCATTCGACTATGATTTCCCTTGGGTTGGCTACATCACACTCATCCGCAGATGACAACATTTGTTCCGGCGTGATGCAGTCTCACCGCGAGAAGAAAAGTCGTACCGACCACCGAGATCGAATCGCTATTTTTCGCCGCCCAACCTACAGTCGTATGTGCATCATCATACTTCTTCATCTCGAATTGCATATAGGAACAGTTGAATGTACTGTAGGTTGGTTCAGCTGAAGACGGTCATTGGATGCGGGCGAAACTACACAGCATGGAAACGTTCGGATTGCATTTCATCGAAACTGTCAAACATATGCTGGTTAGGCAAAAGGCGGGCATGAGGGAGAAGAAACTATACAGCATCATTTTGTTTCGATTGGTCCGACCACATTCCATTGAAAATGCAGAATGTACGCTGAACAGGACAAACATTGCATGCATGCAAACCAAACTGCATATCATCGAAATGATTCATTTTCATCGGAGCTGCATTTCATTCATTGACAGTCAGTGTGGAAAGCATGTGCATGTTCGGTCGGCAAACGACGAACATCTCAGGCGGGCGAAACAACACAGGTAGTTTTAGCATTATGTTCGTTTTGTGTGAAGGCATTCATGGGACGAGAGATACAAATTATGATGCACAGGGCTGTGGCCTACATCGATGTTGCTTCCGTAATTCGCACCTTTCCCGTAAGAGTATCCCAAATCTATTTCAGGAACACCCGCGGCGAATGCCGGGAACCCTAGAATGAACATGCAGCGCACCCATGCGCCACGGACGCTTGATGGGCTGTTCGCTCTCGCATTGGTCGTGAAGGTCAGACGATCATGACTTTCGAGACCGTTTGCATACGAATATTCCACTGGGTCTGCATATGCGGGAGAGGGTCATGCAAAGAAGTAGAGATCTGTGCTAACCATGGACTATGTGAATACACGACACGATGTACCCTTTGCGATTCCGTTTGTGTGTTGTGGTCACGAAGCGATCGTGGGGGTTCTATGCTTACGATGTGAAACCATGCACTGTAGTGAAGCCAAGAAGGTGACAAAGAGACAGGTGGAGCGGAACATTTCTCGAGGAGGGTGCTCACATCCCAATATGATCCACTCTGTCACGTAAAGATACAACACTGTGCTGACTCGGGGAGGACTGAGGAACAATCGATCATTTTCATCCTCTGTTCCGCTTCCTCCATCGGTTCGAAAAATTCATCAATCCTCCAGTTCATCCTTCAGTCCAATCCGTCCATGAATATACATCCGCCGATGCAATCATTGAACGATAAATCATTCCGTCGACCCCCATCCATCCATCATGCCTAAACCCGTTTGATCGACTTCCGTTCTCTCCAAAGTCACGTGTACCTCTAGAGTCAGCAAGAGTCGTACCTCCCAACGTTCTCGAGTCAATTTAACACGAGCACCTCGGATTGTTGTGAACGTGTTTCAGGCACGCTTCCTGCCTTTCGGATGGCATCTGTTTCGTGCGGATGTTCCCCTCTTCCTCTACCGCAAGTCGTCCGTGACCCTCCACGACTCTCCTCTGCCTACAACATTTTTTTGTCCACCACACGAATACGGCGTGTAGCTATGTTTTGGAGCAGTCCACATCCTGCTTGTACAGCAGTACCGTCGTACTTGAAATTGACCCACCTGGCGTTCAAGCTATCACCGATGGCGTGCATCTCCACCCGCAGTTCCTTCTGGCGATCGCTGTTGTTGGCCGTCGCCCCAGCGACCGACGTCTGTGCGGCATCGGAGCTATTGGCATCGACCGCCAGTCGCCTGGTGGGCAAGCAGTTGGTCACGCGAGAGGCGGGCCGTGCATGGTGGCGACACGATCGCTGAACAGCCGCAGATGTATACGCGCGGGGGCGTCCATCAGAATTCAAGCTCCCATCTTCCACTTGACAGTATTCCTCACCTCACTTCACTATGTCCACGAGTTCGTGTAAAACCCACGGGAAGGACAACCTGACTTCTACCATTGGTAGCTCGTAGGAATGGAGCCTCATCACATTTGAAACTATCCATCAGTTTCACGAACAATATCCCTTACAACCCACCAGTATGCCGTTGTCCACCTGGAAGCAAGGCCTTCGCTTGCACCGAGGGCTGATGTCGATCCAGCATTCTCCGCTTCATAGAGAGGCTGGGTTGTACGCAATTGAGCAGGGGGGATGAAGAGGATTCTCCCAGCCTGGATCGTCCTTGGTCAGTACACGTATACAATGCAACAGACTGGCAAAACTTCTGGCGGGTTGGGCGACTTCATGTTGTCTGGCCTGCGAAAGGATTGTGGGGTCCTACCAACCATAAATTGTTGACGTGAAACAGCTACCATGGTACGCAAGTTGAGCTCACTCGGCCGCGGCTGCGAAAATTGATCGAGTAGAAGTTATCCCTTGGGGTATGGAATTTCGTTATGGCACGCGGAGGACGGCGACAATGAATGTCGGCAACGAGATCTAACGCACAGCGATCAGTTTCAATGGTGGCTATTCTTGGACCGTGCAGGAAAAGGTTGAAAGCATGTCGATCGATGATTCACGAGCGATGATGCATATGAGAAGTATTAATTTCCAAACTAGATGCCCATGGAGCACCAAGGGGAACCTAGTTTCCCAGGCAACACGACGCAGGCGGCCCTGTACTGTGTAGGAGCTTACAGGGTGTACATCGATCTCGTACCGTTAGACGGCTCGCCGGCCGTGCGCGCCCCGACGCTGCCCTCGCAGATTCTTTGACGGTCCTACCCGCGCTTCCGCCCTGGGTGACGGATATCTCTCCCGGTAAGCTTGGCACTCCTGTTGCCCCTTTTGCCTTGGGCCCCGGGTTCTGCCGGTCAGAGAAGACGCAATCAACCCCGTTCTTTCGGCACGACCGGCACGGGTTGTCCTTGCCGAACGGTGCAGAGCACTTTTTCTGAAGCGGCAACAACACGACGCAAGCACTTGAGCCATTGATACAAGCCAATGCTATGTGAGTGGGGCGGGCTTACCAATGCTGATTCATGCAAAATTCTGCTGTGCAGGGAGGCCATTTTTCAGTACAGATCAGGCGGACTGCCACACCTGACTATTCCGCAATCCTTCGTGCCCCATGAGACAAACAACAGGGACGTTTCAGCAGGCCCTGGCACGATCGCCTACATCTTTCTTTCATCTGGTCGACTTTGATTTTGCTTCGCTCCTCACGTGCAGGGACACGCATACTATCAGACCGCTTGCTGATCCTTTACATTGGGATAGTTGTTCGTCGTGTGAGGTGGTTGGGGGTTGTGGTACCGTCCAACCCGTTAAACATTTGGTGGAAATGAGGCCGTAACACGTCGGAGTCTGCAACGCCTAAAGAGCACTGAAGTACCAGCAAGAACAGCCTCATCGCTGCCATTTGTGGACACGAAGTCACAGGACATCACACAGGAACCGAGAGCTCAATATGTCACGACAAGCTGCAGATGCGCCAGTTGGCGAGAAAACACACTGACTGGAGATGATGGTGGTATTGGTGGAGGACGTGCCGCGCCGTCTCAGTCGGAACTACTTTCTGTACTAGGTCCAGCAATGACGACCAGAGGACAGGCGTCATGGCCGCACCAGCACAAAGTATAGTTGTCTGTCCCTATCTACCGATCCTCTCAACTGACCTTCTTCTGGAAACACCGGTCACAGTTCCTCCGGCTCAAGGATGGGGTGTTTGGACGAGGGCGCCCGGACCCCTTGAATTTTGTTTCAGTCAGTCGCCATGTCGAACCATAAAGAATCGATCCTGTCAAGTGTAGGTGGAGGCAAGAGTCAACATGGACAACAATGTCAAGACACGTAGGCCAACTAATCGAAAATTGGGGTCCGTGGGGAGGGGGAGGGTGTACTCAGAGTCGTGCATGCCGTAGTCGTTAGACCATTGACCTCGCATCCCTACAAAGCCGGGACGGAGCACGCCGGGTTCTCACCGGACCAGGCTCTCACATCACCAAGCGTGAAGCGCCGTGAGGTATTCGGCGAGTCGCATGAAGGGTGCGCTGCATCCTGCCAAGGGTGTTCGGCATCTTGTGCTTACTTCCTTGCGTACGGATGACAGAAAACCCTCTGCAGTAGGGGGGTCAATGACTTACTTTCATGAACGAAGTTCCCACCTACTACTTCCTATATATGACAGAAAATCGAAACTGCCCTTCCGCTTTGGGGTGGTCCGTGTGTCCGGATTGGTTTTTGACGTATTGTAGACTAGACCCTTGGTGGAGGTGACAAGAGCAATCTGTTGACCGAAGGCGAACATCGAAAGATCAACACCGATTTATGCACAGGAACACGGTGTTACCTCGTTGAACATTCACCTTGATTGGAGTCGTGGGTCCAATGGGACACGACAGGTCATCCCAACAATTTGAAGCATGAAATTCTATTGACACTAAACCATATTTGGCGAGGATGCGCTGTCGGGAGTCTCGCTGCAAGTTGGTCTGGTGGAAAGCGTGTCGGCTCCCACTCGTTCTCTGGCGAGGAAAAAGTCGTTTCATTCCGAAAGGCGTCTATATCCGTTCGACCGTCCTTGGATAAAACAAAAACAATGCGCATGCACAAGTCATCCGGTGAATACTGTAGTCGCCGTCCAGGGGAAATCGTTGTTGGCGTACTGTAGCATCAAGACATCCGCATGCTTTCACGTTCATTCGCGCGTTTAGCATGGGTTTGCGTTTTGACGCGGACGTCAAACAGGTTCAGGGAACAGCAGCCCAACGCTGTCTGCGTCTATCCACGATTGATTTTTCGGGATGTCGAAGAGCAACTTAGCCCGCATCTGCCACGACCACCAAAAGGTAACCACGGTGAGAACGGTACCATGTAGACGATACGCGTTGACAGGCTCTATTTGATTGGTCTACTGCGCGTCGAGGTATTGCAACGGCAGGCACGAATCGAACGAGTTGGTGGTGACTATGCAGCTCAGCTCACCCTGACTCACAGTCGTCGCCGATGTCGGGGGGATGAATAGACACATACTTCCGTGGGACATACATTTTCTTTCACGCTATCCTGTCGAAGCCGTTCGAAGAAAGCACAAAAAGAGACTGAAGCTGTCCCCTGCCGACCTTACCATCTCAAAAGTTGTTTCCGTGGTGGCTTGAACCTCAGTCGGTGGTGGTGTCGAGGGTAGTGAGGTGTGGTGGGAGGTGATAATTGGACGAGCGTAATGGACGATACAGAATTGACAGGTAGATGGGTTAAACTGACAAGTGACTCCTCGTCGACGTTTTCGTTGAACCAAATTCAGCATCCCGTATGTTTTGTTGACAGTTTCAAGGAACATCAACATACAGTCTACTGTTTGACAACATCCCTGCAAGGTGCGTTTTGTCCTTCACTAGCATCACGAAGCGACATCAATTTGGCCGCCTTTCTCCCATCTGTCGGATCGCATGATATATACATGCCCCCTTTGCCGTCTTCTATGGCGAAAGCTATCCGCTAAGACCCTGGATCGACCTTCAATTTGCATGCGTTCTCATCCAACGGGTTCACCTTTCCAGCGAGAGGCAATGCACGAAGAGGCGCAAACTCGATACCACAGTATCATAGTCTATCCACCAAGCTCAACACGAACCAAAGTCGTATCGCGATGCACGAGTGTGGGCGTGGTGTGCTTGACACAGTAACCTCACAAAATTGTCTTGTGCTCCTCGCCCATGTATGTGGATACCGCCCGACTTCGGCAACCAACTCTTGTCGCGCTCCCCCCGGTCCCCATGAGATTTGGGGGTACCATGGGGTACAGACAGAGTGGATATTTTCTCGCTTATTAAATCCTGGTCTCCGCTGGAAGCTACGCGCTGCAAAGCTCGTTGTTAGTAAACTTGATCGACTTCATAAGTCGCGAGGGAAGGGATTGCTGTACCCTCTTCACGAAAAAACTTCAGGCAGGAACCGCAGGAGGGGGTCCAACCCCGCCCTCCTATGTGACCCCGGTTGGGTCGTCTAGATGGTAGAAATGGAAGAGGGGCAGACGACAGAGTCCAATGATGGGAGACAAAAAAGAAAAATCTGTACGCACCATGGGGTGCCATGAGAATCGCCTCATGGTCCCCCAAGTGAAACCCATGAGAATCTTCTCGTGTTCCCCCATGAGACCCCCGTGAGGTGCAGTACCGTGTGAAATCTCATGACGTGACCAAAAATGTCATATCCCCTGGGTTTGAGTCGGCATCAGAGGGGTTGCATTGAATATCTTTGACGAAGACTGTATGACTACTGTAGGTAGGTATCACGCAGCGATTCGTTGCTGCATCTCTGTTTGCTACTTGATCAACCGAAGCCTAAATTATCAGCACCGTTTCGACGCGTGCTCGATTGGTTCACTTGTTTGGCGGCTGTTCACTTTTTCCGGCGGTTTATATCGTCTGATTTCCAATGCGGACGACATCGCCCCTCGCGAAGCACCATTGTAGCACGAAATTGTACTGCAACCGCCGAACAATCAACCCCAAGAAGGGTTGCTTGCAATCAAGACGACTTTTTGAAACGCCGTCTCGTGATGGCCGTGATCATCTGTCGTTGCCCCCAACCAAACAAAGTTCATACGTCAAACGCTTGGAGTTTTCTCGGAATGCAAGGTTTGTCGTCTTGGTCGTCGCCGTCGTTGTTGATGTTGTCTTCACGAAAAAACAATCCGGTCTCCGCTCAGTACTTTCAAATATCCGCACTGGTCCGCCTGACGGGGACGCCTTCCGTGTCAAAAGAAACAAGGAAAAACATACCAGTGGTCTAGTAAACGGATGAAATCAGGAAAACAGGCGACGGCAACGGGAAGGCCACACACCGCCCCTTCCAACAAAGGGTGGAAGAATTCTGTGTCTAGCCGTTGGAATGTTGAAAAAGTCCCTCTATCTCCGTAAGGCTTCCTTCGTTGCGCGTAGAACACGGCCGCCAGTTCGATGAGAGCTTCTATTGGTTTTCTGCAAGGAATGGGGGAGGCCAATCGGAGAAGGGGGCGGGGTCACAAAATGGCGAGCGGGTCCAACGGGGTCGGTTGCTGCTGTCCATACCCAACAAGGGCCACCATGTTTCACCATTCGTCCGGCTCTATCGCAGTCTAGGAGGACCACAAAGCCCAGAAATTATCAACGCGATGTCACACACGCAGACCCGCAAGCACAGGTACACTTGCGGAACGGCAGCGCGACCAGCGATGGAACCGTAGCTCAAGCATCCGAGGCGCGAAAGCGTCAGCACTACGCTCGTCCGGGACACGTGTCCTTTGACGAACACAGCTTTAAACTTACCACCTTAGCCGTGGAAAGCTTTGGCCGCCTTTAGNCTCCGGGGTACCGCAACAAAGGAATACTCCTCGATGTCACACACGCAGACCCGCAAGCACAGGTACACTTGCGGAACGGCAGCGCGACCAGCGATGGAACCGTAGCTCAAGCATCCGAGGCGCGAAAGCGTCAGCACTACGCTCGTCCGGGACACGTGTCCTTTGACGAACACAGCTTTAAACTTACCACCTTAGCCGTGGAAAGCTTTGGCCGCCTTGGAGAGGAGGGTTACGAGTTCATCGATGAACTTGCGACACATGCCGTGGGAGGAAGGGACGGAGGAACGATGGCTCTGAAAGGAGTCTTCAAGGAACGACTTCTTCAGATCGTTTCGGTGGCTACACAGGTGGCCATATCTCGGCGAGTGCAGAGGTACAAGCTCGCATTGCGCGGGCGTCAAGACGCCGAAAACAGGCGAACAAGATCGACCTCGAACCAGTCAACGCCAATGATATGGGGATGGAGTGTAGACGCATCGTAGAACGTGTTTTCGTTTGAAGTTGGCGTCTTGCTTGAGAGTAGATGGGACAGATTTGCGTAGAATAGGGTAAGATGTTTTCATGAACGGCGAAGAAAGGGCTTTTCCAACACGGAGATGTAGCATGGATCGATACATTTGTTGGATTTCAGCTTTAACAAGAGGACATCAACGCAGTAGTATTTTAGCAAGCTTACGAACGCATGTTAATGTAGGATACCATGAGGATTGTCATTGGTTTTATTTCAAATTGAAGAGGAGATATTCTTAGGATGTAAGTGACAGTAGAAAAAAGCCCTACATATGTTGTTGTACTTCGCATTGGTTTAATATTCATGTAGAGTATGAGACATTCAGTGAAAGTTTTCTGAGGTACATCTGCAATTGTCGGAAGGCAAACAAAATAATAATAATTAAAGCTGGACATCGACCCTTGTTCTCACCAGGCACCGATAGCGTGATTCGGCCCTTGTCGAGTCCATCCAAAACAATCGCCGACTATGTCTTGTCGTATCCCTCTGACACTGTACAAGTTCGAGAGGTTCTCTGCTGGGGGCCTAAACGATCCGGATACATCTACATCATCATTGAAATGCTGAAAACGGACGTGCTCTATATTCTG